CTCTCTCTCTCTCTCTCTCTCTCTCTCTCTCTCTCTCTCTCTCTCCACCTTTGCCACGCTTTTGGGAGGGAAACAAGGAATGATCGACAAGCTCGTTCATGTTCTGAGTAATTTTGGGGGCCTGCAGCTGGGGATAGATTTGTGCCGAACCGCTTCCCTTCGCTCCAAATTTTTGGTCTGGGTTCTCGCGTGTTGGCTTGGATCCCGCTTGTGGTGATGGGTCATGGCGTTGGTTGTAATGTGTGTTCAAGGCTCTGGGTTCGCCTGTTGGGCGGGTTGCCATCGGATACCGTACATGACACAAGATTACACACCTCCTGGACCGATTTTCAGAGCTCGATTACTCCACGACCAAGAAGGTGCAAAGACGAAAGGATACGTTTTCAGATAGCTCTCGACCAGACGGCTTCAACGCCGCCGTTTTCGGCTCTGCGACTGTTGCTGCTGTTGAAAAATCGAGCTTTGAAAATCGGTTCAGGGGGTGTGTTATCTTGTGTCATACACGGTGTGCCGTCCGTTTCTTGTGTTGGCTTGTCTGTTCCCTGACTAGGGCCGTGGCAAAGTCTTACGGCCAACTTTTTTTTTTTACGTTATTGCTTTTTGTATGCGAATTGTTGGCGTATCTTTACGTGGGTGAACGTTGGCCAGTCTTGCTATGCGTTGTTTTCATACCCTGATTTCAGCGGTGAAAGAGAGGGATGGAGCAAAACGAGCAGCTGGTCGGAGCAAGAACGGGAAGTACATGAGAGACCTGACCTGCTGATGAGTTGGCTAGAGATCAGATGGTCTTCTTGGCCACTTTTACCTGCGATGGGGATGATTCGCAGAGGAAGGTCGTGTGGGACGTGATCAGTAGCCTTTTTGCGGACTATTGCGTGCCCTACAACGCGAATGGTTGACAGACAGAGGGTGCGGGTGACCGGGTTTGATTTTATTTTTTCGTCCCCCATCATTGGACTCTGTCGTCTGCCCCCCTAGCTCCTATCCGCCACTTCTATCAGCTAGACGACCCAACCGGGGTCACAAAGGAGGGGGGGGTTGGACCCTCTCCTGCGGTTCCTGCCTGATATATTTTTATCGCGAGAAGGGTACAGCAATCCCTTCCCTCGCGTCTTCGATCAAGTTTACTTACAACGGGCTTTGCAGCGCGTCGCTTCCAACGGACACCAGAATGTAATTAGCGAGAAAGAACTCACTCTGTCGGGATTCGAACCCATGACCTGGCCCTTAGCAGGCTGCGAGACTACCCACTACACCACCGGGGCGACCGACATTTTTTTTTTTTCTCCCATCATTGGACTCTGTCGTCTGCCCCTCTGGCCCCTATGCTCCACTTCTACTAGCTAGACGACCCAACCGGGGTCACACCGCAGGGGGGGGCTGGACCCCCTCCTGACATGTGCGGGCGTGATTCCCCAATTGCTTTGACAAGAGGAAGCAACGTGTGAATATCATGAATTTGAGAGCAGGCCATTCGCTCGGATGGCTTGTGTCCTCTCGTGCGTCTGGTCTCGGTATGATCCATGGGTAACTCTTGAGCCGTGGACTAAACGAAAACAACACCACCACCGCCTGGGGTGCCACACGCCCCATGTTCTGGCAGTCTTTCCCGACGTGTCTCGTCTCACGTATACAACTACCCTTTCTTCCTGCGCCTCCGTTCCCTTGCCCTGCAGCAGTTTTCCGTCGCGACCCCGGCTTCCGGTGGCTTTCCCGGTGGGTTACGACAAGACGACAGCGATGATGATGATGATGATGACGATGAGGAGGAGGAAGAAGAGTATGAGAAAGGGCTTGCAGATGAGGTCGCGATGTCGGAGGCGGAGGAGAGGCTGGTCTCAAGCTTCATGAACGCTGGTGAGAGCTGGTGTGATTGTATTTTTGTCTCCCTTGAGCTGTGTGTTTTGTCGCACCTGGTCGTTGTTTCACATTGCTTTGTTGCGCTTTCGGTCTCTGTCTGTCTGCCTGTCTGTCTGTCCGTGTGTCTGTCTGTCTGTCTGTCTCTCTCTGTCTGTCACACACACAAACTCTCACTCTCTTGCTGCCTCATCGAGCGTGTGTACTTGGCTATTTGGTTCTTCCCTGGGCGTTCTGGCGACTTCGTGCGTCAAGGATTCCGAGTAGACCTTTCGACCGTGTTGGAGCATAGTCAAGCACCTTGCATTGACAAGCACGCCCATGCCTCTTTTCTTGTTTCTACCCTCATCCGACGTTTGCGATACCGGTTGAACATTGTTCGCGGGTGAGGTGATGGTGTGGGTGGGTGTCCGGCTTTGCTGCGTTTTGTTACCGACCAAACCTCAAGTGTGTCAGTCACAGAATGTTCTAGTCAGCGGTTTAGTGAAAACACAACACTGTGTTGCCTATCTGGCGGTACAATAGCAACAGCAATTGTATGCCGGCTAGACGGCGTTGCGTGTTCTGAGCCCAACAAATTCGCGGAGCAGTCGCGGCACGATCGTTACCGATGATATGAGTGCCTCCATCCACCGCTCTAGCAATAGCAACACCCACACGTTTGTAGCAAGCATCTGCCTGATGATGGTCCGCGCCTGCGACGCGATTGCCGTCGCTATCCTCCCCCGTTACCCTCTCTCTTGGTGGGTCGAACGTGCCATGCTTCAATCCAGACTTCTTCATATTTTTTTTCTGACAAGTCTTCGACCTTGTTTCTGCCCTACCCTGTCTTTTGTCCTCAACCCTATCGTGTGTGGTGTGGTTCCGGTGTGGGCTAATTTAGCGCCGTTCCAACGGAGATCCCTCGCCGACATTATCATGGACAAAATCAGGGAGAAGGAGGAGGGCGAGACCAGGGCGGCGGGGATGGGCGGGGGCGACAAGGACGAGGACGGTATGCCAAGACTGCCTCCAAAGGTTGGTGCAAAAACCCTCAACACAGCTGTTTCAGGACGGCCGCTCCGAGAAGGCCTAGACAAGGCCCCTCATAATCGCTCACTTCAAAGAGAGTTTCAACTGTGCGGGTGAAGCAATCCCAAAACCAACGGAGAAGGTTGGATCCAACCGTTTGGGGAAGGATCGTGTGCTCTGGCATTTATCGCCATGATCGTGGATGATATCGAGAAGGCCACAAATCATGAAATTTTATCTATCAAGCCTATTTAGTGGCCCCACGCCAAGGTTTCGACGTGCATGTCTCAGGAGCGTAAACACCAGATCGAGTATAAGAGAATCAATCCGATTCAAGCAAAGCCCTATCCCTAACTTGTTTCTACGGGGCTTTCGAGAAGATGTCCTGAGTCGCAATCAATCAACCGATCACATCGATGCAATACATTGTTTTTTCAATATGGATCAACCAAATCAATGCATTCTTTGGCCAGAAATGTTGAGCAATTTGCTGTCAACTAATCGAACGTCAGGTTGTCGAGGTGTACGGGGCTATTGGAAAGATGCTGAAATCGTACACAGCAGGGAAGCTCCCCAAGGCGTTCAAGATCATCCCTTCCCTCACAAATTGGGAGCAGGTACGTATCAAGTTTTCCAAGTTTCGGCGTGTTTTATCTCCGTTGATGTCGGTGTGGAGTTGTCGTCGATTTCGTGGGGCGGAGGATGTAACGTATTGGTTGGGTTTGATGGTGTGTTGCCGAAATGACGTATACTAACGTTGACAACACGAAAGAACGAAATAATGGCTGTCCGTGATGCGGACGAAACGTAAGTAGCTCGACTGTCTGACTTTCTGAACAACCCAGGACAATACTTGCCTTCCATCACCGCCACCGCTATCCGTTGAGACTATCACGTGGTAACCTTAGGGCGTTTGGCCACCTGCATCTTTCCAGTTGTGGTCCCAGTATACCGCGGTGTAGTGACGGGAAAAAATCACAACGTTATATCGGGACCCGCGCTATTGGGAGAAGGTCCCTGAATAGCAATTTAGGCAGTAAGTTAGGTTGTTGTGCCAAGGATGTTTACCGCGGTATATCGGGAACGCGCTATTCGGGACTGCGATATATCACCGGTGGCAGGAGAAAAAAGAAAAATGGATCTCGTTCATTTTCTCTCGCAGGTAATTATATAAATTCATCTTTTTTCGTCCATAATGTCTAAATTGCTGTCGTATACCGGTGGCAGGAGAAAGTAACGTTTTTTTTTTTTTATCTCATGAGTCACGAAGCGCGAATCGCGACCTGGTTTCCCTTCATCCCAGGAGGGAAAGAATGGGTCGAAATATCGGGCTGTTTCAACGCGATGCAGGTGCCTAAGTTTTATTTCGGCCTCCTTTTCGATCAGACCGAGGGCTATAGAGCACCGATGGACGATCTGCTGGCTTCTGAGGAGGAAGGAAAACAGGGCATTCTTCGTCACACCGACGTGAAAAGTGACACGAGATAGATGGCAGTCACTGTCATTACAGTAGGAGCAACACTGGTGCATTGGCACTGTTCATTTTTGCCGGTGGCGGTGCTGTTTGGTGCCTACGGTATCATTTGGCGGTACGGCTGTAGCTGAGGGCGAGGATGTGTCTGTTCCTCGGCCGTTGATGTGTAATATTTAGAAGTTCCGGCGGGAGCAGATGGAACAGTCTTGGAAGGTCCATTCGATGCGTATGTGTTGGCATCGAGTAAATTTTTCTCGACTAAGGACTTGCGCGATCCGGGTTGCTGTGTTGCTGGTTGGAAGCAGCGTGTCTCACGCCTCGCACAGCGTCTCAGCTAGACTACTGCCAGGTATTGAATCGTACCCCGCGGCTCATCACCCCTCCCTTCTAGTATGGAGTATATCACATATGTTGCCTCTCTTCACTGTATATACTCAAACAGGGAGCGTTTTTTTAGTAACAAAAAATGGTCCATCATCTCCATGTTGCTGTCGCACACCGGTGGCACGCGAAGATCCCCTTTCTTTTTCAATGTATCCCAATTGTTGCCCCTCGTCACCTATAGAAAACAGGCAGCGTGTCAATAGAATCAAACATCGTCAATCATCTCTGGTACGCCTGCCCCGCTCGTGTTGGACGTTTTCCCGCCCCCCACAGGTGCTGTGGTTGACCAAACCCGAGCAATGGTCGAATCATGCCATGCTCGCAGCTACCAAGATCTTCGCGTCCAACTTCAACGCCAAGATGGCGCAGAGATTCTACAACGTTTTTCTCTTGGTAAGAAAGCGCGACATGTGTGTCGGTATCCATCGTTTTCCGAAACGACAGATGTGTGGCGACACCTTGCTACGTGTCGTTGGCGCTCAGGTCGTTTTCTTTCAACGCAGTGTTCTATTGTTCGCATTTTTTTTGTTGATATTTTGGAAGGTAGCTGTTCACGCCGATGGCTCAACACTCCTAGGATATTACTCGGTGGTTCTGGCATTGTTACGACGTGTTAGGGGCGTTTCGTACCGAATCGTTCGGACTATATTTGAACCTCTTGCTGCATGCTCTTGATAGAGGGGTTAGAGGTCCACACCGACCGGACGGGTGCCACGGCGCTTCATTGGTGGGGGTTGCATAGCAGGCGCGCCGCAGGGATGCTTTACAGCACTGTCGCCTGCAGCGATATCGCTGCCAGCAATGGTACTTTTTGAAGAGTTGATGCCTAGTTGTCCCCTGCAGCCAGAATCACGGCCAGTAACTATACCGTAGTAAGTTATGCCTAATGTCACCTGCAGCGATAAATCATGGCCAGCCGTTATACTCCCTAAAATTGATATGGCGTTACTACTCGTTCAGGAGGCTTGTCGAACCGACATCCTGGAGAACCGACGGCTGAACTACCATCTCTACGAAGCCCTCCGCAAGTCCGTTTACAAGCCAGCGGCGTTTTACAAGGGGATGCTTCTACCTTTGGCTTCCGCGGGGGACTGCACCCTCAGAGAAGCAGCCATCTTCGCCAGCGTCCTTTCGAGAGTGAGTGCGCGATGACATGATCCCATCTTCCTCAGTCTTGAAACAATGTTATGTGTATTTCTATTAGATTGCTGAAATGAGCTGTCACTCTGCTACGAAGTGAGGGTTGAGTGCCCCATGGTATGACGGCCATTTTCCCCAGTGTTGAAACAGAGTGTTGTGTCTACCAGAGTGCCGAGTTGTGTCATTCTACAGGGTGGGGACCATTGCCTTCTGAGACGTTGTAAATCTCCAGCTGCGCCCGAGCTACGTGAGCCTTGAGGGCGCGATGATATGGCCACCTTTCCCAGTCTTGAAAAAGAAGTGTTGTATCTACAAGATTGCTGACTTGTGTCACTCCACTACAACGGTACGTGTTCACTTCGTTGCCTGGAATATCAGTTTTTTGTACGGCAAACGATAAAGAAAGCCTCGTGTGAGCACCAACGTATGCATACGGGACATTACAATAGCCCTCGGTGATACGATGCGCCGATTCTGGGTTCAGGGTCAACTCATATAATTTGGGGCGACAACATAGCGCTGAGTTCGTAGAGGAAGCCGTTTTTTTGTGCGGCAACTTGAGAAGAAAGCCTCCTGTGAGCATCCGATCAACCACAAAATTCCCGTGGTACGAATCGCCGATTCTGCGTCTGGTTTCAAATCCGTGGTTTCGGCAGACAACATATCCTAACGTGTTTGCATGCAATGCTCAGGTGATTTATTTATGTATTGCTGCATATGAATCTGCAGTTCTAGGCCGCTGTGGGCGCAGCTGGACGAGTCCAAACCCCTGCTGGGTCATCGAGAAGTTTTTTCACCCCTTGGGCTCGCCTTCACGCAAACTCTGCTCGGTTTTTCCTCTTGGCGGCATGAGCGAGGAAAAACTTTCCGTCTCGACCCCAACGCGGGAGGGCTGTGGACTCAAAAGCGCGAGAGTCACATGCCTCAAACCTTGGACGTGCATGTTACTTTGTGAGGTTTTCCTCGTCTCCGACCCCCCATATCAAACCTACAAATTGCCGTGCGGCATCTAGACAGACGCACAGCCGTTGACACGTACTGCTGATTTCGGCATCGTGGTCAACCCAGCGACGGCCCACACACAGTCCAGGTCGGGTCAAGTTTTGTAGCAGTTTCTCCGTCTTCGCCGTACGCAGAAATGGCCGTCATCACCAACTAGGTGTCTTCCGATAGTGTTTTTCTTCAGTACAACAGGCGTTGATGTTCATAGTCGCCATTTATATCAAGAATCGTTTTTGAATAGAGGTTGGTGACGCGACAAATTTCCTTGATGCTTTGGATTTCCTCGCCGTGCATTCCACAGGTGACGATTCCGGCGAACCACTCCGCAGTAGCGTTGCTCAAGCTGGCGCAGCTTCCGTACAACGGCGCCACGTCTCTTTTCATCCGTGTGCTGCTCAACAAGAAGTACGCGCTCCCGTACAAGGTGTGTCATCTGTGTCGCTTTGCTATGAATTGCACCAGGGTCGCTGTAACGGTTCGGGTTGGACGCAGTTGATGCTCGAATGTCTGGAACATGAACGCTGCACCGAATCGACAAAGAGTCATGTTTGCTTCATACCAGCAGATTTGCACTACTTTTGGCACATGGAACGGCACACAGAGTACACCATTTCATTTGCGAGGAGAAACACGAGCATCAATCTTGACGCAACAACATTCAAGCACACACCTATGGTGTCCGTTCCTCGCGGCGCTCCAATATCCCATGGGGAGTTGTTGCGAGCTACAGTTATTCCACATCCAACCACGAGTTGTTGGATACGGCGCGATTTGCAGGTTATCGACTCTCTGGTCGACCACTTCATGACCTTCACCACGGAAACCCGAGTCCTTCCCGTTCTGTGGCACCAGAGCCTGCTCGTCTTCGCGCAGCGGTATCGTGGAGATATCACCCGCGCCGACAAGAACCGGCTTAAAGAGGTATGTTGTCGGTTTCTTGTGGTTCAATTGCAGTATTAATAGTGGTCAAGATTTGGTGCCGGCTGAGTATTACCATACCGGGTAGCCGGTGAAATCGGGTGACACAGATGGAGTATATTTTGTTTCATACGCTGAATACCGTAGTACTGTATATGACACAAGATCACACACCCCCTTGACCAATTTTCGAAGCTCGATTTCTCAACTGCAGGAACAGTCACAGCGCCGAAAATGGCGCCGTTGAAACCGTTTCGTCGAGAGCTTATCGAATATGTATCGTTCCGTTTATGCATCCTCTTTGTCGTGGAGTAATCGCGATTTGAAAATCGGTCCAGGGGGTGTATTATCCTGTGTCATATACGGTAGTCGGAGAGATGGCACCTGTCGGAGAGATGCACCGGTCGGGGAGATGGCACCGGGGGAGCGCAAATAAATACAAGAACGGCATGATTTAATTCGATTTACGCGCCGGGGTCAGCGAGATCGCACCGGGTGCGATGTCGCTGACCCCCAAATCCAAGGTTGAACTCCTTTTCAGCTGCCGGAATGAGGTACATGTGCGTACCTTTTGCACGCGGGGACGGTGTCAGCGGAGCGCCACTCCTGTTCTGTATGTACGTATGCATCGTCGCGGTGCACGCGGGATGCCATTTGCCAACCGTAAACTCAACCAAACACACAACGCACCAGCCGCACCCTACCCCACCTTACACAAACCGAAACTATTGTACTGCTGCGTACGTACGTACTGGTATCCGTAGAGGAAGACCGAAACGAAAGCGGAAGGCAGCCTGATACCGTATGTATCGGTGCCTCAGATGGACACCACATCGTTTGTGTCCTTGTCACGCCATAGCCAAACTCGTCTTAAAAGACAATACGTGTCGCTGCACGGAAAGCTGTTTCGTACCAGCCTACGCTGCCGTTACCGGTGTGCTTCCAACCAACAACAACGGTACATACTGCTGCCTGTGTTGCCTCCCGTTTTTCCCAGCTGCTGAAAGCCCAACAGCATCACCAAATTACACCAGAGGTGCGACGGCAGCTCTTCATGGGCGGCTGCAGAGGGGAGCCCAAAGGCAGCCTCGCGTCCACCCCGCGATCAACGAACGATGCTATGGCGACGGGATAACGATATTTATTCTCGGTGCGGGGGGCGAGCGTTCGGCCGATTAACCAAGCTTGGAATACCTGCAGACGCGTTTGTCTAGTATGCTTGATTGAGCAACCGAAAGGCCAGCTGGCCTTTGACCCAGTTGTCAGGTAACGGGGCGAATACTTGAGATCGATCGCTTTTAATGCAGTTGGCGACCTTCGTACTGTGGTAGAGGTTTTGAACTTCCTGTCGACGTACTCACGCCACTGTCACCCGGTGTCGTGTTAGTGTTGCTGACTTTAGGGACGAACATGCCGAAACGGTAACTGCACGAATAGCGGCAGATGGATGATGGTGGGTGTTTTTCTGGTAAGGGTTGAACGAAGCACCATACCAGTCATGTGCCTCGCGAAGGTAGTGAAAGCACCAGCACAGGACATGAACATGGGATCACTGTTGTCCGTTTGTAGGCGATGGAGTATACTTCTGAAATGGTGCCCAAGGAGTGTTGGTTGTGGCATGTCCGCTTCCGGCCAAAGAAGCGGATCCCAGCGGTCTTGCTAGGGTTGGAATATCGCAAAAATACAGATTCAAAACCGGTGGAGTGCGCATTTCTTTCACCAATGGGGAATGATTTATCCATCGTCAGGGCACCGAACCCTTCCGTGGAGGCCTGGAGCATTCCGGCGTCGATAGTGGCTCGCGGCATGCCGTTGTGGGAAACGGCCCGTAGGGACGCACTCTCAGGCTCGCTACGTCGGCCGCAGCACGCGTTGACTACCATACGCCGTAGCGCATGCTTTGCTTTTTACGACACTCTCCGTTTGGTGTCCATGTCGAAGCGTCCCCGTAACACTCCGAGGTTGTGCGTGTGCGAAAGGTGATGCAAACATCAAGAGCCGGTGGTAAACTGTAGCAGCACTCGGATCGACCCTCGTTTCCTCTCTTACATGGCGGAATACCCGCAAGCAATGTTCAGAGAGACCCCGCGTACGGCAGTACAGCCCATACACACAAATGAAAATTCCCAAGCTCTAGCTTGGAGCTTTCCGGACCCAAGAGTCTTCGTTTCGGTGTCGTGTTCAATCGCATAGCCCACCCCTTGCCCGATCAGATCTCAAATGCTGATCTCGAGCTATGCGAGCGACACCCGAGGCCTGACTCGGTCGGGGGTCGAGAATCATCAGCCCTCCCGGAGTTTCTCGAGTTTCCGCCATCTGCGGCCGGCGAGAGTAATCTCGGTGTATTTCTCCCTCTGAGTTCGGTGATTGAACAGGCAGAGTTGTTGTTGTTTTCTTCACGTTTGTGTTCGAAAAAATTCATGTTACAGGCAGCGGAGTGGCACGCGTTTTGGTTCATTTTGTGCATGCGGAGATCATTCGTTCGTCTTCGTAGCACATGCAGTATGTAGCGGGGAAGTTGATGCCCTTTCCTCGCGTAGCAAGTGCAGCAATGTGCATGGTCTCCCACGGACAGCGCGGTGACTATTGTATTCTTGCTGATTCATCGGCGCGGCCATACTGTTCATCAATGCTGTTTTCGTGGCTTCCTAGGTACTTGTATATAGATAGGTTTTACTTTGGGCTCTCGTTCGGGCCGGTGGGTTGCGTTTCCTCGTGTGGGTTGAAGGCTGCTGCGGTGCTGGATGTTGCTGGCGTGCTGTTGCCCATTTTCTCGCTGCAGCACATGTGCGACGCTTTGCATTGTTTGTGTCCTGCCAGAGAGGATATAGCCGGGGATGTTCGCCGTAGCCTAGGAACAGCCAAAGGTACCCCTACTTGGGTAGCACTGATACAGCCAGGCCCTTTTTCTGAGTTGTATCGACACGCGATTCAAATTGTGTGCCAGCAAAGTAAATGAAGGCTAACGAAGGTGGATGAAGTTCTTGCTGTCTTCGTGAATCGAAAATCATTCTGCCAAAGGTTCGTTGGGCATGTCTATTGTTGAATACCTGGGGGTACTATATAGGTAGGAGGCAGAGCCAATGCGGTATGTGGCAAGGACCTCCGGGTTAGAAGCATAAGTGATGGTTTTGCGTACGGTGGGCACGGCGCGCGAAGTGATTCTTGCCTCACCCAGTCCCTTCCCTCACTCGGAACTTGAGTCATTCATCCCTCTTTTGCGCGAGACGCTCTCGACGAGAACCCGCGAGCATGATAACGACGGCGCACGGAAGCCCGAACGTCATGACGTCACCTGCGAGTAATCGTCCTTTGAAAATCGGTCAAGGATGGGGGGGTATCTTGGGTACCGGAGTGGCCTAGGGCGGCAAGCATCACTTTAACCAATATCAACGCGGTTCGCTGACCCTTACTTGAGGGGCATCTGCGCACGTCTCTGCGTGTATTGCAGAGAATTTGGCTGGACGAGGCATTGGTAGCGAAGGAAAGGCAACGAGGGGTGTGCTCTTCGTGTGATGGGAAGATTTGTTCTCTATTTCGTGTTCCCCTGGCTTGTCCATGTTGTCGAATAGTCATTCGATGTCAACGTCGTTCTGATCGACTCTACAAGCAATGTTTAGGCATGACACGCATATGTGTTTGTGCGGTGTGTCAGATAATGTTTTCTTCTACATCTTACCGCCACAAGCGACAGGTGCACCAACACTTTCAATCGCAGAACCAGGTCAACTACGGAACACACCGATTGACATGCCGTGTGCCACTTGTTTATGGCCACCCTTCTGGGCTCTTGTCTATTCTAAGCAATAGTATCGCCCTACGTACCGCCATTTTGTCGTGACACTCATGGCAGGGTATGACAGCACGAAAAACTTCAGTACACGTCGTTGTCGCAGCACCAAACTTCGCCACACATATGGTGTGACGACAACTCGGCATTCCGTCGGGACGCACGCTGTCGCCAAATGTGTGGCCGGACAAAAAACACCCCAAACTGGTGCACTCTGAAACGAAGTCTAATGTCACGAGATGATGACGTTTTGTGACTTTACATTGAACATGATGTACAAAATGCGTTACGCCTGGTTACCATTTCACTTTTCTGTTCGGGTCTTGGGGAAAGAAGAAAATGCCTAAACGGTCGGGCTTGACAGTCCGCACATTCCTCTCTACGTTATTCGCACCCTTGGAGCCACAGTTTCTGCTGCTACCGCTAGAGCTATACACCGATGCCAGGTTGAAGACATTACACGCCCTTCCACTTACAACCTGCTGCCGTGCAGTACAGGTAACTTAACACGTGACAGCAAAATCATTCGGGAAGGAGCAAGGCCCAAAAATTACAAATACATGTCGTTCCTGTCTCCACACCCACGTTTTGACGAAATAAAAAACCTTGGTACAGCGGCGGTCGATAAAATCTATATGTCGTTACTCTTTCCGCTCCCACGTTTGACACAAAAAAAAACTTGGGTACAACGGCGGTGCATACAAGGCGCCGGACACAAAAGTATGAGGCACGGCCCCAGTCAGCAGTGCCAGGGTCTCAGCCTTTTCTTTCAGTGTTTGCAGCGTGCAGAGACCATAACTCAGCTGGTTTTTTGTATCATGTGCTGGCGTTAGGCGCCTTCACGTTCCCCGCAGCAACGTTCGATGTCGGTTTGAAGACGACTGCTGCAAGGGCGGTTGTGCCTTACCACCCTCCATACTCACGCCTCTTCCGAACTGCTGCGAATGTCTTTGACGTCGTAGATCTTTGGTAGGTGCTAACGCACTCGTTGTTCTGCCGCTCTCCGACAGGTGGAAGCTGTACATCTGGCCGTTGATGGGTCCAGAGGCGGTGACCTGCGGGAGACGGGAGAAATAACACTCCAGTAAAAATTCATGAAGCAGAGAGTGGATCAATACTTCCAGCTCACTTTTTCCAACTTCCAAGAGATACGCAGGAACATCAGGGTACGCAGCAAGGCCGAAGCAAGAAAGGGGTGTAGTCCATGTAAGAAAGACCCTTCCAGCAAGACACCCGGCCATTATGTATGTTGTATTAAGCCTCGGAACACGGACACTTTCACGGGCACTTTGAACCGTTGCCATCACCGTCGACAAAAAGCAGCTCCATCGACACGATACTGGATGGCCCACATAAAACTTCGACCTACATCTCTGTTGTGAAACATTCCAGGCTCCCAGTCGGAGATTGAAGTGAAGGAATGCCCGTTGCGGCGGGTTTCCGAAGCGAAAAAAGTTGCCAACACCTGTTTAAAGAGGATGTCCAGTAGGCATGTAGAAAGTAGCGAGAGCAGGTGGTGGCGGAGAATAGACAAATCTATTAGTGCCGAGGATGGGTTGATGCCTTCAAACGTAACAAGAGCAGTTCGTCCAGGACAGCTTTCTTGAGAGGTTCAGCTGGCGTTTGAGGTATGCCAAAAAGGCTAGCACGTCGGAAGGGATGATGCTAGTACGTCAGGAGAAACAACTTCTTGAGACCTGTTCTGATGATGATCTACACCACACGCAGTATCAGTCTTGTGGGATCTTATTGGAACAAAGGTTGCCGCCAGCCGATACAAACGGTGCGGCGTCGATAAACCCTATCCTGACGAGGGTGAGAAGTTGACCTTCAAGAAGGTTACGGAACCATGTAACGAGAAAACCTCAAAACGGTACAATGTACTTGCGCTGGCGTCCTCCGTGTCACTGTACCCCAATGTTTTCTACCATCCAAAACCCGTAGTCCCCCTCCGCACCACGGTTCTACACGGCACCCTTCGGCCCGCCTCGTCGTGACCAGTATACGTCCAACACAACCTCTGGGTGTGCTGTCAGTCGATGCGAAAAATGAAATGCCGTGGTTTTCGGTGCAAGTCAGAAACCCGTGGCCCGAGCATGAAACACAATTGCTATGCTGGAGAATAAGACACCGCTGCCGGAAGGCCTTGGTTGGACGAGATCTGCATGAAGTCGTGCCGTTCAAATATGGCACCTTCCAAGTAGTGGAGCGTTCGAGCCTTCAAAACTTGAAACATTGCCTACCAGGCTCTGACGTACACCGTCAGACACGGTAATTATTGATCCACACACCTGCGACAATTCCACCGCATCCTTGCTGTGATTAATGACATAATGAGGAGTGCCGTCTGGATCCAAGCCCCAATCGAACTGGCTCTGGAACATGGTGCGAGGACAGGGCAAGAGTGCAGAAGATACGACGGTCGCTTCGCCACAGCGAGCTTACTGTATCACATGGTGGCACAACAGTTGTGGGCGCACACCAACAGTCACCTAGGGCGAAGCGGCTTTGGGGAAGGACAAAACACACTTCCGAGGACAACGACAAACACGCAATAGGAGCACCTCAGGGAGACCTCTCTTCCAAAAGCAAACTGAACTGCCACGCGAGATCTGACCACCTGTCCGCTGCCGGAACGTGTACCATTTCACGGAACAGCAAAGGTATCTGCGAGTCGACGACGGTTCCTGCCCTAGCAATACGCTGGTCTCGGTCGGGGGCAAACCATTCAAGATACTTGAGTCGGAGACGTTGCGCCAAGGTCGAAACAGCTTTGTGCTGTATGTCGCAGAGGAACCCTAACCCTTACTCTACCGGAAGTTTCCGTGATGTTAAAAACAGGACGACAAAGGCAACAGTAATGGTTACAGTGGTGCAAATGCTTACGAGGCCAAGCCCGTTCGGTTTCGGATTGTTCGCGAGCGACTGTAACCCGACAATTATGACATCCGGGATTGCTTGGATGGAAGCAACCAACGACAACCGACCTTTTCGGGATGCCACTGCAGCCCGTACATCGGGTAGTCTAACGCCTCCGCAACGCTCACGTACGTCCGAACGCCCTGTCTGTCGGCGTTGATGGCCATTACCCTAACTTGACGAGAGTCCAGCGAAAATAAGACACGGTGTGTGAGCGTGCTACGAACCCCTCCAACCCAAGAAAAGGGAACACGGAACAGCTATAAGGAACGCGGAAATCCGCTTCCCTGCATGTCGTTGTGTCCTGACAATGCCACACGCAACAGTCGCAACAGTTGCAAAGCCCTTTCGAGTTTCAGTTTCGTTTCCTGAAGCAACAGCCCGAATAGGTATTTGATTATGACCCCAGTTACGTCGCATGCGACCGGATTTTGGAGTCGGTGATCTCCGATTTTCGAACTGTACTCTTTTTCTTCGGTCGACGTTCTCGATGTAGCTTCTACAGATTCTTTAGTGAGGCGGAGAAGCGTATTTGCCACCATTGTCCGCCCTGCCCGCAAGTTCAGCAAACCCTACGCGGGCGGTTTCCTGGGCCTAGAAAAAACGCGTCTCTTCATCGGTCTTCAATATCTACACGTGACTTGCCAATACAACTTCGGAACCCCCTCGCACACGCGTTGCTCCCTATGGAAATTGCCGTACCTGAACATCGTATCCAGGCCAGACTCGACGAAATCGTCCGGTGAGACTCCCTTGTGGTGAGCGTTGGCTGCCAAGGGCTCGACCTTGGCTTTCTCGAGCAGGCTCGCTGGCACTCCTGATTGGATGGACATCACCAATTTTGTCAACAAGTACATGAGTGGGACTACGGCGAAAAAACGTGATATCGTCAATCGCACAAGCCGGGGTCATGTTCGGGTGATGCTGAAGGATTGGTTAGTTGGACATGTCAACAAGCGGTTGGCAAAAAAATGTGGAGATGGTCTGCATCATGAAACATATGTGGTGCGCTTCGAGAGAGGGAAGGTCGAGGGGCGGGGTTAGACTGTGTCGTTGTCATTTATTTTGGCGGTATCAATCGTGTTCCAACAACAGCAACCATCACAACAAAGGAATCCCCACACAGCATCCAATTCGACTCACCGGACAGCATTCGACTCTCTCCAGCATCGGCCAGGAGACCAAGTGGTTGGGTGAAGTTCTCGGCATCGAAATCGACAGTTATAACCGGGTAGTCTCCCGCGAACGTCTATCGAAATATAGTCCATGGTGGGAGCGAATAGCAGGTGGCGAGTGGGGGGCGAGACAATCGACATATGCACGGACGTAGCAAATAAAGTTCTACCAACGAACACCGAGGAGGGGAATCTTGGGATACACGTGGCATTACCAATCCGCTGGAAGGGGATATGGGCGGGAGGAGACCAGAACGCTAGTTCACGCAAAAGAGGTGAGACCATTGCACTTGCCAAGCACTTTTGAAGCCCTCAACGAATTCCGCCAGCTGGGACAGCACCACGTGCGACAAGTGCGTTGTTTCGGTTACTCAAGGAAAGCGCCATTGGACAGCCATATTGGCGAACGATACACTGTCGAAGGACGCCAACCGATCGATAAGTGAAGTTGTCAAGCAACGCCGCCCGCTGCCTTAATGTCGAAACTGCCAGCAAAGGCTATGTCGAAAGAGCAGGTGCTCCTGAGGCAAGAGAAACGATCCTTCCATCGTGGTGCGAACGCACGATGGCACGCCGACCACCACATCCACAACCATCGACATCATCAGCTTGTGGTGGTCCATGACACAAGAACTGCGCTTCCTTTCATCACTTCCTTCAGACAGAAACAATCGTCCAAAGGCCTCTACCGCGACCGCAGTGGACCACAGCAAACACGGTCAATATCACTCGTTAGTATTCCAACGCCACACTGGTTTTGGGCCGAAAACGGCGACGTTTTGGGTGCAATGCTTGATGGAGAAATACACCCACTTATCGCGAGCTGTCTAGATCTTACCCACAACCTGAACAGAAAATTTCACCTCCGATTTCAGATAACGAGGATTTTCCGCACTCTTCTGGAAAACCGAACGCTTGAAACTTGCAGATACACAGAAACAAACAACCCAATCGAATATAAATCAATTCCTTCTCGGGAAGGTGCATTGATACGCTCGGAAACCATCTGCAAGGGGTTGAGAGGAATATTTTGCCGCATTCTTCAAATGAACTATGATTCGCCGCGGTCTCTGTTGAAAGTCATGATATTGGAATTTGCAGGACACGTTTATGCAGGTTGCGTCCGATGTGTTCACATTCTCGGAGCTTATGGTCGAGCACTACACCTGTTTTTCGAAAACTCCAGGGGTTTTAACAGAGTGCAACCCCCGCGCCGAGTAATATTTCTTGTGTTACAATTCTACGGACCGACTCACTCCGCCATAGAGCGTCTCCGTTGAAAACGAAAATAGTGCACCGCGTGGTCGTCGAAAAGCTGAATTTACACTCTGTTTCACGGACGATTCCAACGAATATCACCTGTGCCATCCACTCCCAGCCAAGGCACGTGCCCCACACGGGGAAGAAGTCGCCGTCATCGTTCAATTCCTTCGCATAGTTCAATGCCCACCTTCGGCACGATGGGCCAATATGAGAGACACACGAACGATCTGTGTTCGTATGAATTCGTCCCAGTTATAGGTGACACCAGTCTTCACACTTATCGGTGTATGTGTCGATGTATCAGCCAGGTCTACAGGAGGTTTTTACTGAAGTAGTATTTGTTGTTGCCCCACCTTTCCTCCTGCGAAAAGGGTCAGCCGTCCGTTACCCTCGTTGGCCGGGAAAATGTGGATCATTCTACCATACTCATGCAAACTGATCGTTTTCCGCTATCCAAATAAACCCTCCAGATAGAGAATCGAATCGAATCGCCTGCTACTAGTAAGTTGGCGAGGTTAACCACTACCCAGTTGACCCAGTAGACCGCGGGGGACGACCGGATGATGAAAAATTGAACAAAAGCTAGTGTACGGTGTGATGAGTCACGTAGCAGAGAGTGTTGGAGGCAATGCTGACCCTCAATCAACTACGTGGGACTGTAAAGCAATGATGTCAGACGGGGACAACGGGGCCGTGCTTGTGGGTGGCAAGAGAGACAGTCAAACAGCACAGCGGCTCGTGAAAACTCTGATGTTTCACCACCCACCTGTACTCACGAAATGCATGATTCGACCAACTCATACAGATAACCTAATTGAGTGTGCAGGAGTTGATACAGCCGTGATTGTTCAAGGTGACATGCAGACCAGCGGAAGAAGGAATGCGCTTGGAAACATCTCCAGTGGTGGACTCTCCAACAACTCGCTGATACCTGCTCTTCCTAAGCTCGATCAGGTCGTATCCCTAACCCTTGCCCGTAAAATAGAAGCTGGTCTGGGCCTGCATTGACAACCTAGATTCCTCATGAGATGGGCTGATCACAGGTATTTCTAGATTTTGTCGGCGCACGTTACCGATGTGTGAGGGTGGAAGTTAACACTCCTGCGTCAACATTCTTGATGCCGGGTGGGAGAAGGTTAATAGTAGGTATCAAAGTGGTGATCTGTGATCACTGGCGGAAAGTAATGTCAAACTACTTGTCCCTTCATAGCAGAATCGAGCTGCTTCCGCCCACAAGAACAGCGATCAAAAAAACATTGCCCCACACGCGTCATGGAACTACTGAACAATCGCTAAGGCGTTGTCTGCCGTACGCTAAACTCAGGTCGGAAGCTCCACGGCGCTTGCTCGGCGATGCGCGAGGCTCCACACACCCAAGCTGGTGCGCACATAAATTCCCAAGGCACCTGTACACGATTAATAATCCCCGCACTTGCCTCGCACCTTCCGGTAGCGACGGGTTCCCTCCGGGTAAGAGGAGGCCATTCACCTGGTCCAGGATCGGTCTCAACTCTTCCGGCGTTGCTTCGTACCGAATCGGCAGGGATCTCGCGCCGGCATTCGCAAGCCTTTTGCAAGACACAGGTGGGTGGGGTTCTCAGGCAAGCGATCGAATTCTGCGGGGTTTGGGGTCACGATCGACGACTCGGGGATACAGTCTGGGGCCAGGAAAAGACGTGACATGATAACTGGGGAGAGCGGAGCATGCGCGTACCAACTTTCCTCTCCCTTTACATCTCGAGATAGAATTTGGGGAGGTACCATTACATGTATCGAGACTGGCGACATGTTCATACGACAAGTTCGTCTCTCTCGTCCGGTCCACTCGGAGGTAGACGCCGGCAAACATGGATTTCGCTCGTAGTGGCTACTTCGTGTTGAGATTATTGGTATTTGCCGTGGATTGGGGATGCTCGTGGGTCGAACACACGCGACCTACGTTGAGGAGTAGAAAACAGGTTCAAGTTCAAAGGATGGCAACCATGTTCGATGTCACCACCCTCGCGCCTGGGTTACTGGACCGAGTTAGGGTCCACGTGTACGTATTGCAAAATCTCCATGCATGCCTGAGAAACATCCAACATGCCCACCACTGTCTGCTTCCCAATAGCAATGTGGATGTGCGACGAGCCAAACTTTCCCAGCGGCGACATGGCAACGCCCAACAATAGTAAACAGACCATTGCCAACACTAGCGACAGCATCAACAAAGCTATTGGATCATCACCCAAACCCGCTAAGACAGGGCTACCCACCAATTAACGTAGGCGCCCTTCACAAAATCGCAGTCACCACCGCAGTCCGGCAGGCTGAAATGCTCGAGAAATACGACAGCGAGGGCAGGACGAGGGCGAGGATGAGATAAGTATATGCCACAAGTTGGAAGCAATGTCCACCGTAAGGCAGATTCTCCCTGCGGCAAATTCGGTCAACACGTACAAAAACCTGGAAATTTCAGCGCAGTTGAACTGTAGTCGGAGAACCAAGGTGCGCCAACGTACAGGTGAGCTGTTCCAGTTATCGAACAGCAAGGAACCGATGCTTGACCCGTTCAAACACCGACCGACGGCGAATGCCGCAGGAAGGGCGGGTGTGGGCCGGCTCGGTAAGAAGAGTCTTGCGGGTAGAGACACACAAGTCGAGGGAGAGAGACGGAAGAAAAGAAGAAAAATACTCCAAGCATCAAAGCCGACAGAACAAACCACAAGGTTCAATAGGCGCAGACGAAAAAAAATCTTAAGATACCCTTGTATATCCATTGGCGTCTAAGTACAGCGACGATATCCTGCGCCAGGAAATGAGCAGCAGCGGGAGCTCGTGATCGTTACGTGAATGTGTAACAGGTGACGACACCCTTTACGCGCAGTCTCGTAATACGAAAGCGTGCTACCGGAGAGAAACTAGTCTGTTTGACTGTCGAAAGGACGGTACGAAGAAACAGGTACTTTTTTGTCTTTGTCCTAAGGTGTTCACAAGTGAAGATTTCGGATACGAAAGACCCCCCCCCCACCCGAGAAAATTTCGAAGCACTCCCATGAATCACCGAAAAGATGCGAGCCATTCGGCGAGCGTTTGTGAACTTGGGGTGTGACGTTCGTGTCCTGTTGCTTCGACAATATGCATATATCTCAGCAGTATTCCACTACAGTACCCGCAACGAAAACTGGCTTGTATTTCAGGCACATAATGTAGGTGCGATCAAGAGAGCGTATGCAAGCGTGCTCCCACGGACTGTGCTGCTGTTGACAACTAAAGGATCCTTCACAAGGATATCGGACAAAAAGCTTCCCAAGACAAGCCCAGACGTGGCCTTCAAACCCACACAGAAGCAGCAGCAGCAGCCGCAGCGAAAATTCGCTCAGCATGAAACGCGACGATCTTCGGAACATGTTTCCGCCTCAGCCAAAACGCCTCCGCTCAAAACACGGGAATCTCTGAAGAAATGTTCTCGCCTTCACGGGCTCAGATTTTCGATGAAAAGTGGTGCAAGTTAATGCTGTTCACCCGCAGTTGAAGAAGTGCGATGTGAGCGGACGGATGCCTTGGCGCGATGGTAGGTTCGTACTGAAGTCAGACTTTGGAAAACCAAGAAATGCAGGCGTTTCCTGGTCTCCCGAACAGGAGATGTGTACATGTGTACATCAAGCACTTTGTCTAAAAGCTGGGTCAAAATTTTTTCACGCCCCCCTACTGTACGTACCGCGAGCGCAACAACATTAGTAGGTGATATGACTAGGGCACCTAGCCCCCCCCCCCCGCCGTGAGGGCGGCGGGTCCCGAAAAATACCGTCATTACGCAGGAATCATTCATCCAGATACAAAATGATATACAAGGTCCTCTGAGCGTCCTTGAGGCGATGTGAGAACACATGATTTGAATTACACATGATATTGTTAACCCTGTCGCATCGATTTCTTTTCTTTCTTTGTTGTTCGTCTTCATGTACACGTCCGCAGCAGCAACACCAGAAACTAATGTACTGTCGGATGATCTGGATGATCTGGTGCATTGTGCACACCGGCGTCTAATAATTATTGGGTGTCTTCGGGTGTTTGTTTGGTGGATCAAAGTCGTCGGAATCTATGCACACGTATGACAACTCCGAAAATCACATGTAACTCACATGTGGAAAGCATGTCGTCGTCGCAAGAGAGTAGCAGTTAGTTGTCGGTCACAGGATGTAGGTGATATGGCCAATTTGAGAGATCTGGGTATATACTGCGGTTGGAGAAGAGATTTGGGTATGCGTGCACAGTTCGAAAAGAAAAGTGCGCCGAACACTTTCTGCGTACAGTTGTCGGTCACAGGTTGTAGGTGGTATGCTTAATTTGTGAGATCGATCTGGGTATATGAAGTTGGAGAAGAGATCTGGGTAGCTATGGTATGTGTGTACATGTGCACATTACAGCTCGAGAAGAAAATGGAGTCGAACAGTTTCTGCTTCAAGTGATTTTCTCCGAAATCTCCAAGAAATCCGAGGGCGTGCTGATTGAGGTTATCACCACACCGAAGTAGACCCTCACCGGCAAAATCGCATACAAACCTACGTGCATGCATGCTACATGTTGTACAGTTCGAGAAGAAAATTAAACCGAACACTTTCTGCGTACAGTTGTTCATATATAGGACTGCATCCATCGCTATATCATGTCGTAGGTGAAGGTAATGTTAACAATCATTCAGAGATTGAGTTGCAGCAGACGTACATGTACACAGAGATGGATAGTATTTAAAAAAACAGAAAACATGCTGAATATTTGTTTTCACATCAACACACATGTCGGACTGGGGCTCCAAATTTTCATAGAAACTTCGTGCAGCAAATGTTTGATATAAGCGGCCTCATGTGATTGGTTAAGGGGCAACAGTTCTGCTATCCCACCTAACGAACCTCTCCTGTCCGCAGGTAATGCGAATGTTTTCCGGTGGTGCGCTGCGTGACAGCTGCACCCTGCTGACACCGCTCTCTCACTGCTGCTGCTGTTGTTGAGTGTGTGCGTGCATGCAATGGGTGTACGTGTCGCCCCCTCAATTCCAGCACACGAATTCGCACCAGAGCTGAGGCAGGAAGTACACATACTGGCCGGCAGCCTCTGAACCAAGTGCTGTGTCGCATTTCAAGCGTTCGGGGATGGAGAGCGAGAAGTTTTCGGGACGCGGGGGGGCACATCAAGTCAAACTCTCTCTCTATGCTAGCAGGAACCAGAGAACAATCTTGTGCAAGGAAGGACGCGCACGTCTGCACCAGGAGGCCACTGCGCGCTCTTCCTCCTGTCTACTCCTCCTTGCTGGCGGTGCTGCCACCTCCTCTACAAGGTCGGCCGTCGTTGTCTCCGCGGTTCCGGCGTTCTCCTCTTCCCCCTTGCCTCAATCTCTGTGTGTGTGACGGGCGCGTGTTGTTGACCTTAAGCCGCGCAAACAAACCCAACTTGGCTTTCTGACCGTGCAGCCTCTCTCTTGTTGGTGGTGCGCCAACTCCACGGCCTGTTCGCTGGGCGCTGGCCTTCTCTTTGGTCGCGCGGATTGCATGTGTGTGCGTGTGTGTGGTGCCTGATGTGTTGAATCGAAATGTTGCTAAACCGGAAAATCGTCCTAAGCGCCTCCCTGCGCTGTTATTGAAGTATTTTTTTTTCCTTATCTTGGGTTCTAGGGAGACTGTCAGGAACGATCCTCAGAACGATGGCGTAAATCAATAAATATATTTCCTTATTGCCGAAAAATATTGAGGCCAAAAGAGTCTAATATGTTCGTCAGAAAAATGTTCGACGACGACGACGACGACGACGACGACGACGACTTTCTAAGAAAATATGACTTAGGGTGATTGTATGCGTAGCCCTTGTAATACGCTACATATTTTTTGGTCCGCTGTTCTGTAATCGATCCCATTTTCATCGAGGGTGGTGCCTGCTACAAGCAGGATTTTGGATGCGGCCGTGTGGTCCGAGTTTCGAACGCTTCCAAGCACGCTTGCTGCTAGCTTGTATGTTACTTGCTGTAGACCTGTCAAGCATGCTATTGTACTGGTTCTCAAATCGACTTCAGCGACGAGTAGGATACGTGAGGGAGGAGCTGCGCTGAAGTCGGTGGCCACACGGTAACTGTTGCGTGCTTGAAGCGTTCCATAATTGCACCGCGAAGCAGGATGCAAATTCCTTGTAGCACAACGACCTCGATGAAAAAAAGCTCGCTTCGAACAGAGGACCGCCAATCTGTATTTGTGTCACAAGGGCTGCAATCCTACCTGTAGCTTTGTACCTCGCGACATGAACGGGCGCCTTGGTGCTAAGGTAGATGCGTACTGAAGTCAAGACTTTGGAAAACCAAGATATGCAGGCCTTTTTACCGGTTCGTCCCAAGAGGAGATCTACAACGCTCCAGGGCCCAATCTCGGCTTTGAAGCTTTGAAAGATAAACATGTCAAGCCACCCTTGAGGGCGAGGGCGTGCCTCAACTGCACTTTTCTGGACAGGGAACAGGGAAGGGGAACTCGGAATTATTGTCTGATCGGCCAGCCACAAAAAAAAACTTTCCTGTTCGAGGTAGTCACGCCGCACCATAATTTAACTCCCAGCGAGGGAGTTGAAAAATTAGCCAACAGACCATAGGGAACGTGGAACACGATCTTCGGTGGCAATTCAGGGCGTGGTGGGATGAGTGTGATCACTCGCGGGCATGTGGCTGCCACAGGTGCGGCATTCTACTAGGCATGGTCACCATCATCAGGTGATGCAAAAAAACGGCGGCGGATGCTCGTGTAGCCGTTGTATCCATGTGGGGGAAAATAAAGTGTCAAAGAAACGGCAAGCTGCCGATGACCACAACCAAAAAGCAAGTCTCGAAAAGCACTCTCGAGGGTGCGGATTACATGACGAGCACCGCCTGTTCTAGCCGATACTAGCACATGTGTTTGATGTGAGCTCGTCAACAACTTGCTTCAAAACCTACTGCACCACTCCTCCTTCCTCGTCTTTCTGCATCTAATGGTGGTATCTATTTGTTTTCCTTTTGAGTGCCTGCGGGCCACGCGCGCGCGCTGAACTGTTCCATTAGGACCAAACCTTGAGTTCGAAGGGTGTGCCCAGATCGCTACTATCGGCTGCTCGGTGATGAGCTCTGTTCCCGCAGCGCCTCTCCCTGTCGAACCCTGTGCAGCCCAGCAACCACCGACTAGACACAGCGCAAGCCAAGCGTAATTCATGTCTTGGAGCACTACGGCAGCAGGTCTTTGATATCTGCTTGCGAGAGACACAGAGCTCGGGGATCGTGGAACGGGGAAGGGCGAGACGAGGGACAGAAAAACGTGCCACCTCTGGGGTATGTCTTCAGTGTGAAGGTCATACCCCGCAGCTAACAGCATGCCACCGCCTCGTCACTTCTGAGTTTTTGCCTCCCTTTTTTTCGCCGCCCGGAACCAGTTCGCGTGAACCGGCACACTACAACTCTGTTCAGCTCACTCTGTTGCTCTGTTGTTGTTGTTGTTGGTTGTTGTTGTTGTGGAGCTTGTTGTGTGTCAACGCGGCTACTTTAGTAGCCAGCGCGTTAGTTGCTGTGAGCAGTGTGTTCGCGTTCGTTCCAAGTTCAACGTTGCACTGCTACGGCTGTACACATGTGAATACTTCGCCCTTTGAAGACTTGAGGCACAACGACCTCTGTTGCTTACCGCCCTGGAGGTACAGCAGTCGACAACCGCTTGAAAGAAGCTTGCTTCTGCATGGCGACATCGCGCCGAGACGGCTGGATCTCGAGTTTTTTAGGAGATTCTTCGGTTCTGTATTTGTATGCATAAAACTTGGAAAAGCGTGATGACATAACTTGGATAAGATTCCAGAAACTTTCCGTGGAGCGCCTGCCTCCAGTACGGGCGAATATCCACGCCTCAACCAAGCTTGCCCCAACACACATCACAACTTCCCACCAGCAGAGCCAGAATCCGTCCCCAACAACTCAACCTGTACCTGTTCTGCAGCCGCATCATGCCCTCCATCACCAGCTTGTGCTGCGCCCTCTGGGGAGGACTGCTGTTGTTCTCCTTCTGTCCGCAGGGCTATGGCCAAGTTGAGCTCCCCGCCTTGCCGTACGGGGAGTCTGACCTTGAGCCGTACATCACCGAGGAGGTGAGAAGGAATAACGAACGGCTGCATGGATGGCGGAGAATATTTTATGACACACCAAGTAGATACATAGATTAGTCTACAATACGCTGAGGGAGCCTGTACTGTACAGTAGTATTGTTGAGTCTCTATCTGTTGCTGCTGGGCAGAGACTGCTGGGTCTTGGCTCGGTTGTTGTTGTTGCTGGTGATGTACAGCAGTCCAATGCTAGACTATATTTGACTATCCGTGCCTTTTGACCCCTTTGGACAGAATCCATGCCATACGCATGCATTGTCTTACAGCAGTAATTGATTTTTTCGTGCGGTGCAGCCCCCGCCAAAAGAACACGAAATAAATGGGATCCATCCGATGAGAAGGAAGAGAGTGCTGCACCTTCTCGCATTCAAAATTGAAGGCAAAGTACCGCAGGAGGGGTGGGTAGGGGTGAGACCTTCTGTGTGGCCACGGTCTCGAGTATACGGCACAAGTGCGGTGAGCGCTGAGTTGAAGTTAAGACAAAAAACAAACAAACGATGTGGGCACCTTGGGGCACCACAAAGTGAGCTGGTCTGGGTTGGCGGCGGATGCGCAACAACATCAAGTGTTTTGAAGTAACAGCGACACCAGTCCTATGCATATCGTGGTGTCGTGGTGTACGCGGCAACCCTTGTTATTGTTGTGTGTCCATACAATGCATACGTTTCTACAATAGAGCCACGTTCATTCATTCGTTGACTACGTACAGCTCTATTTGGTCTCAGAAAGAAGAGTGGATTCATGCGGATAAATAGTGTACGACGTGGCAACCTTCGGCCCGCGCGTCCTCCGGGTTGCCGTGGGGATATGCGATGATATTGTATTCAAGATGAGAAAGGTAAACCGCACCGTTAGTGAAAAAATAACATGACAGCAGGTGAGCCGCGGGCAAGGCGGTTCCGGGGTATCTGGGATTTGAACCCCAGTTGTCGGCAAATAGCAGCACCAAAAGGAGGTGGTGTCCTGTCCGCCTCAGTACACTTTCAAATCTCGGGAAATATATCTAAAAATGCAGTAAGAGGATAGACGGCACGACTGCTGTACTGCTGCTCTCGCCTACCTAGTTGCACGGCACGAGGGAGAGTCTCAACCGCACACCACACACAACGGTCTCCACAGCCAACCCGTGAGCGCAATAATATGTCCTCCTCGTAAATTATCTACATATGCTGACCAACAGGCACGCGACATGCAGCGGCAGCAGCTACTGCCGCTAGTACCGCAAGGATGGATATGAACCGCATGTGCCGCCGCTCTCTGTGGGTTTGCCCCCCTACCTCCGAGGTTTGTGCCAGAGGGTGTTCCCGGCCCACGTAGCTCACCGGCCTCAAGCATCATGTCCACATAAATATCCACCCAGCGGCAAACAAGCGTAACCTCAATCACAGTCTATCCGATGTTTTGCAGCACGCTCAACTCCAACTCGGGGTCTTTTTTTTTGTGGAAAAACGCCGCACATTTGGTCCCCGAGTTCTGTGGATCTTCCCGTTCTAACTCGGGGTCGGAGTGTGAACGTGTGAACTCGGGGCGCATAAATCCGATTGAGACCCACCCTAGAGAATGCCGAATAGACCGAAAGAACAACGCGTCGTCATTCCATACTGTACTGAAGATTCCTCCACAATGTCGTCAAACTCCCTGCTCCATTCCATGCCGTGCATGTTCCGTCCTTTCTTGCCCTTATCTGCCAGACCGTGAGCTTTCACTACGGAGCGCATCACCAAGGATGTACGTACGGCACTGATTTGAAAGCACTCGTGATTTGGTTTCGGGTGCGTTGGATTGAGCGCACGCCCTGAGTGTGTCTGGTTTCTCTTTTGGTTTTGCACCTGTCTGGAAGGAACGGCTGGTGGTGAGTCGTGCTCGGAGGTGCCAATTGCACGAACAAAATCTACCGTTTTGTTCCACCCCTCGAGTGTGAGATGATCTGTGCGAATCACGTTGAACGTAGTGGGGCGCAGGGAGCCTTGGGATTGAGATGGCTCCTAGACGTCATGTTGTGCGTTTGATCTTCAGTTTCCCTGAGCTTCGTGCGTTGGGGGCAACAGTATTGCCGGGGCTGACAAAAACACCGGTTGACTACAACTAATTGCGTATCATGCGGAACTGTGGCGGGAGTAGACTGTCATATCTGCCGTAGCATACGTGTGTCGAGAGTGCGGCATGCATAGAACATGACCGCAATCGCCCTATCATATGCTACAGATGCGGTCAGTTCGTGCTTCAGTGGAACGTCACACAGATCTCTGCGAACATAAGATACAGCAGTGATGAGCTGGGTAGATGAAGGGTGAAATGCGTGAGAAAGAAGGCCCAAGTCGCTGTTGGCGCGGACTGCTGTTGAGCGGTGTTCGGCAGGGCATGATGGCCAATCCATCCCAGTTGTTTTCACGCTGCTACTCGCTCTCCCGGGAGCATTATATGGCTTGTATTGTATCCCTTGGCCTTACTTCCTCTTGTCTTATCCCTTGGTCATTGAGTTTCCTTGAAAATTCTCATTGTTCTCGCAGCTAATTCTTCCCCGTGCTGATTTCGTGGCTCGGTTGTGCCGCTTCGCAGATGTGAACAACATGAACGCTTTCATCGAGGCTGATCCTGATCTCGAGGGCCTTTCCCTCTCGGCGCTCATGAACCAGACCGAGGGGACAATTTTCAACAATGCTGCCCAGGTGTGGAAAGCATCGTGTGAGCCGGCAGTCCAGCCGTATTTCGCACTCGGAGTCACGAGCTCCTTGAGCAGGAGTGGCCTTCAATCGGTGCCGAACGACCCTGTTGATCCGTGCTAGGACGCCCGTGATTTGGTCGTATTTAATACGAAGCTCGCTTTTTTTTTCCCGAAGTGTGGTGGGTCATGTGTTGGGGGGGGGTGTACTCATAGTCGGCATGCCGTAGTCGTTAGACCATTGACCTCGCATCCCTACAAAGCCGGGACGGAGCACGCCGGGTTCTCACCGGACCAGGCTCTCACATCACCAAGCCCGAAGCGCCGTGAGATATTCGGCGAGTCGCATGAAGGGTGCGCTGCATCCTGCTAACGGTGTTCGGCATCTTGTGCTCACTTCCTTGCATACGGATGACAGCTGCGTATGACTTAATTTGTTTTCTGGTGCTTCACTTCCAGACAGTTGTAAGCACTGTGTAACTGCCTCGAGGGTGCATGACCAATTTAACACAATGTGGTGCGATCATCCCCCTTGCGCGGAGTGAGGGTTCTCCACCCCGCACAACATGATCTACTCGACCACCATTATGGTTATCGCCAAAAAAATAGCTAAGGCAAAAAAAAAAACAGTATCCTGTTTGCCGAGATCACGAAGTAAACTGGCTTGTTTTACAACGTCATTGCCAAGCGACGAAAACCCAATCCCGATGGCGAACACCGAGGGGGCGGCTTGTTTTACAACGTCGTTGCCAGGCGACGAAAGCCCATCCCCGATGGCAAACACCAGGGGGGGGGGTAGGGGGGGCTAATGCATGAAGAAAGAAGAGAACACATAATCGTATCGCTGTTGTGCGATTGTGTCACGAGGGACAGAACGTACTGACGAAAACGAGTCCCAGTACACGTGCTGGCGGGGGTTGGCATTTCTGGAAAAACGGCGTGGAAATAACGATTTTTACCCTCTGAGATGACGACCGGAGAGACCCATGGTTCGCAACATCGCAACCACCTGGTGCTCCTTCGATTGGTTTTGCGAGGGTTCATTGCGAACATGGCTAGTGCCTTCAACAGGTAGATTTAGAGTTTTACATCGAATTTTTCATCGTGATCGTTGGAAACCTGTGCAGGGGCTCCTCGTGATGGTGAACAACCGTATTAGGATGCCAAATAGCCCTGAAGTCCGTTGGAGGGTCTCGGTGCGAACGTGCTGTCCTTGACGCTGATGAGAGTTATTTATTAACGTTCCTGTTTCCAGATCTACAACCACAACCTCTACTGGCAATCTCTTTCGCCTAGCGGCGGCGGGATGCCGGAGGGGGATCTCTACACCGCTATCCTGTCGGCCTTCGGCAGCTACGAGGATTTCCAGACAGCGTTCACCGAGTTGGCCTCTGGACACTTCGGCAGCGGGTGGGCCTGGCTAATGATGCACGAAGATGGGTCCGTGGATGTGAGGAAACAAGAGAAAGAAGCCGTATTTACCAGGCGTTCCGTCTGAAACGTGGGTGCGCCGGGGGGGTCCTAGTTGTCAGCGTTGCGATGGAGAGACTTTCGACAATCCCCGGCATACGGCAAGCTCTAGTCCCCACACGACTCTACATTTGTATGTTCCAGCATGGACCCAGTCTTTGCTCTCTCTGGGGATAGCCTCCTACCTCCCACCCTAGACAGAGGCCATTTCCTCTAGCCATTTCTATGTATTCCCACCAGCTGGCAACAATGGAAACAACAGCACTCTCGATGCTCATTCGCGGGGTGCAGTCGTGGCTTGTTTGTGCCTCCCCGCCGGTCAAGACAGCCTGACCGGCGCTTTGTGCTCAGCCTCTACACTGGTCATCGCACAGATCAACCATGGCCTTGTCGTACAAGGCCAAATCATCGTTGCCACACGTCTGCTATTATGAAACCTGCCGCTTTCGATTTCAATCCAGGTGGTGGACTCGCACGATGCCTCGAACCCCGAGAGCGACGGACTTGGATTCCCGCTCCTGGTCTGCGACGTTTGGGAGCACGCCTACTACCTTGACTACCAGAACTTGAGGGCCTCCTACATCGAGGTGCGACCTTCCGCAGCCCTCGTTACCGAGCACTCCCTATAAATGTTTCACGCTGGATGCCTCCTTTCGAGTCTTGTAGGATGGGTGTCATTTTCTCGCCCTTTGTGTTGTCTTGCGGGTAGGGTTTGGTTGGTGCCGCTTTCGCGTGCCGATTCCCTCCTGTTTCTGATATCCACGTTCGTGCCGTCTGCGTCGTCCGTCCGGCTGCCCGACGCTTCCAGGGTTGGTGGGCTTTGGTCAACTGGGACTACGCTGAGTCCGAGTACACCCGCGTGTTGGACGAGTACAACAACAAAAACTAGTAGCTACTCTCGAACAAGTCTGTGTTTGTCTGTGTGTGTCCTGCATTGCGTTCTTTCTTGCAACTAGCGGAATGATTGCCCCCGTCCTCCCCACACTGCGAAGGAAGTCTGGTCCTTTTGAAAATTATCGCGCAGGAAGCAGATGTGCAACGGTTGATGTGTCATCGTGAGGAAAAGCTGCAGTGTATGAAGGGGGAGGTCGTTGCAAGTTGGTATTTGAAAAGCAGGCCATGATGTATGTGAATTGTTCAAATTCCGCGGCAAGTTCATGGAAAGTCAAGATAGAATATATGTTGGAAAACACCGATGTCCGATCGTTATACTATAAAGAAAACGTGTGCTAGAGACGCAGCGCCCAAGGCTTGTTGGGTTTTCCGACGAATGTTCTGGCATAGGTATTTCCAGCTAGATATCCCCGAATTGGGCAAGACGACGTTGTTGACGCTTTGCGTTGCTAGTTGCCCGTGCGTTGGCGACGCCGATGCCGACCATGGTTCTTGATAAATAACGTCACGGTAACGGTGCAAAGCAAGCGGTGAAAAAGCGCAGACTCCATGCCGGGTGAGACATATGTGCGAGGGTCTTCGTGTCATTCGTTGTCGTTTGTGTCGTTATTGATGGATCTCGTGTTTTTTTTGGTCACGGTTTGTCGTCGCGGCGCTCCGGGGTGTATAGACTTAGATTTTCGCGAGCTCTCACACTTGCGACGGAGCTAAAAGGGCATGGGGGTGGATGCACCGACGAGCATCGTGCCCTTGATAAGGAAGAACGGCGAAAGGCTTGCTGCCGAGAGTGGCAGAAATACCGAATCGTCAAAAGTGGCCATATTTTTATACAAGTATATGTTTCCTAATAGGTCCAATAGGTTATTCATCATGTAGTAGACCCGGCGCTCGCATTTTGAAGTGGCAGAAGAATTGCATATTGTAACGACGCACGTATCGTATCGAGCGATGACCGCAGCACGGAGAAGCACATATACACAAGAGTTTCGGGTGTCACATGCATGCCTCAATGTTGGATGGATAATTTCCACCATAAAGTACACAGCAATTGTTCGAGCTTCGGGTGATTCTGTTGAAGAGCCGCACTGGGTTGTTGTGATATAGCGTACGGGGATTCATTCCTTCGCCGGTGACGATATTCGAGAAGAGTGATCAATGAAAAAGGGTTCCGCCGCAGGGGAATTTTTCGAATTCCGACTTGTTTGTCGCAGGCTCGCAAGTAAGATCAAGTTGCGCAGCGACGCACAGCCTTGATCTGTGGGCATTGACAACGAGATGCGGTATTTGTTGGGGACAACAGTGGGTCCGCCGCTGTTCTACGAAGCACATTTTTTGAAAGAACGAAGTCAACGAAATGTAGACGTAGAGACAATTGTGCTTCGCCGACAGTGAGCCCTCAGACTTGTGCGAGAGCACATGGGAAGTTTGATCACACTTTGTTTATGTGCCGTACAACCAATCATCCATCCGCGAATCCAGCCTTAGACTCCCATCTCCCGCGTACCGGTGCTTGGCGTTCTCTTTGCCCGTTAATTGCCGGTGACTCGTTGAACATTCATTCATCGAATGAATCTCGGCCTACGTACGATCGAAATTTCACAGATCAAGTCAGGTAACCTCGACGCTCACAAGCGCGCGTCTTTTCCCGGTTCTTGGCTACATCGTTTAACATCTGTCAACCCCTTTATAGTATTTTTGATTGGCGCCGCCCTTCCTTGCGCCATTCCTCAATCATTGCCGAAACCATCAGCCTTCGTCACCGTTGTACATTTCTTACTTTCACATAATAGTCTAGTCAACTCAACATGTTGGGGTTCCATGTCACGATGTCAATAGCGACGTCTTGCGGCGTTTATTCCAACTCCACCTACGGCAGGGACCCTAAAGGATCCTTGACGAGGATAAGGAAAGGGAAGACTTCCACAATGCTCTTGTGCACGTATTTACCTCACGCTCAACCATGACGACGTGACCTCCGCCGCCACAACGAACAGCTTGTTCGTGTGTTTGGATACGGACTGGTTAGATTTACCGGCAACAACAGAGGGCACGCAGATGGGGCATACGTACACCTTGAAATGGTTGCATGCGCGGGGACCCCTCGAACTCCGAAGAGAGGAGGGTTTGGCACAGGGCCCATAGGCAGGGCCAAAAAAGTGAAAAACGACGCAATTTTATTGGTCAACAGCACATCCCGAGATGAAAAACGACCCCGAGACCATGAAAAACGACGACCTGTGATTGG